CTTGGCAGGATAAATCTCCCCAGACTTATCCAACGGCTGTGAACATTCTAAACTAACACGAGTCTCATTAAGTGTCCAGTTTAAGGGTCTTACACAGAAACATACCACACAACATGAATCAAAACTGTCTAACAAAACTGGAGTTAAGGGCATACAAAACTGTCTAACAACATGGCATCTCAGAATAGCAGGATGACAGACACCCCAACACCACATAGGCGATGACTTGTCTTAACCAAAATGATAGAGCCCAACTTGGCGACCCACCTCTACCGCCGACCTTGTGAACTGCCTCTGTCGTCGACCTGGTGAAAACCTAGCTGGTGACCTCGTCCACAATTTAGGGCGGCTTGTAACACCCCATCCAGGGCGGACCTGTGGCACCTCGTCACTAGCTGAAGTGACCTCAACATGAGGAGTGACCTCCTTAGAGGGCTTGCCGACCTGATTGATGTCCAGGTGGTGACCTGCGAGACGTGCTCACCGACCCATTTTGCATGTGCATCCCATCACTCCCGGGATTATCAAAAGTTGGACCCCACACGAATGTTCTAGAGGAAACCAAACAAGGCGCAAGACTGGTCTACATGCACGGCTACCTCCGAGGACTTCGGACCGGTCAAGCATGACCTCTCGGAGATCTCGAATGCAATGCGTAAAGCCCACACCAAGCAACGTCTATATGTAGGCCTCACCTCCAACCTCACATGGGAGAGAAGGTATGTGTGATTAAACCTGTTCATGGGCCGGACTTGGGCTTGTCTTTTGTCAAAATTCTAATGGGCCTGGCCCAAAACCCAAGCCCGAGGCAGTGCAAAGTTGGGCCCGAAGCCTGGCCCATGAACAGGTCTATGCGCGATTATTGGCTCACTAGCATACAAGCATTCAAACATTCAGCTTGCACACAAAGAGTATTGACTTAAGCATCGGAGCGACCACGCCGGGTAAGCCACCCCAGGTCCTCTGACACTAATTCCTTGCAGGTCTCTCTAAAGAGCTACACAGTTCACCTATGTACCTAGCTTGACACCTGAACAACCTCCTAGTTCTGCCTAATCCGCTCGGCATCCAAGCCACCTTCCAACAAGAATTCTCTAACTCAACTTCAAAGTCAAAAGCCAGCAGGAGAGCTGCCAAATCGCACATCATCAATTGGCACCATCTCTGGGAACACGCTATAAAAGCTAAGTTCTCTATTACTGTCTTTGAAAGTTAAGAAGTGGCATCCTCAAGCAATCAACTAGCCAGTAACAACAACAATGATAATGGCCAAATCCCCACCATTACTATTGGACAAATCGACGTTCCTCTGCACCTTGTTCCGTACCAGAAAATGTGAATGCGCCTCCTCCTACAATAGAGGCCGCAGCGGCTCCTGCAACAATTGATGCATGCCAGTTCTATGACCTGGTGCATTGCATGAAGGGAATGTGCGAGCAACTCAA